GTGTATGGAGCATATTTCAGTTTCTACTCTCTATCTTGCTTTCAAAGATGATAAATAAAGCTGTTTGGGAATATTTTCGATGGCAAGAGTCACCAACGGTCTTGGCACAAAAAGTAAAGAAAATCTAATTTGTTGACTTGTCAAACCCTAAACATCTACACTAATTACAGATTCTTTAATTCATAGTTTGTAATTTACAGCCATTTCCCTTTATATATGAAAGCAATGAAAGGGAGACTTTTATTTCATCCAGAAAAAGTGACGAGGATTCTAGTTCACCTCCAACTCAGGTTTACCATCAGAGTTAAATTATATGGAAAATTGTAATAAGTAAGATTATTTCTAACTCCTTTGGCTCTTTATTGTGGTATTCAAGCTGCAGACTTTTTAGATTTGTAACAGTCAGGGATTATTGTCCAGCTGCAGCAGGTCACTCTGTAATAACAGGAGGTGTGTGTATGTTTTTTTTAAAGTACAAAAAAATAAAGACAGAACTCAAGAATCTTCCTCAAAGAAATCCATTGTGACAAAATGATGAGTTTTTTTTGTCACTTTTGTAAGCTACAGTTTCACAGTTGTGACTGATTGTAGGGCTGGTAGCTTCAAACCCATATTCACAGTTTCCCTTCTGCCAAAAGCTCCAGCAAGGATACAGATTCTAACAAAAGAGTCCAAAAAATATAAAAAGAGTAGAAGACGTCCATTGGAGCTTCACTCCCTCAGAACTCAAATCAGCTTTCACCTGACCACAAGAAAGAGATTTCACTTGGAACAAATGACTTTTTGTGAATTCTGCCCAACTTCTCTCAAATGGCCTCGACAGATGGGCTTTTTACTATCCTGTTCTTGTTTCCCCCCCAAAAAATGAAATAATCATTTTAGCCAGACTTGAAGCAAGCACAGGCAGAGGTTTAAAACGTGTCTAAAAAGTCCACACACTCCCGCTGAAATGCAGAAACAGTACAAATCATTCTCAGATTCCAAGTGTCACATGGAAAATGTGACACTTGGAAAAACTAAGACATCCTATTTACATAAGTATGCACACTGCTATGATTACATCAGCAGCTGACAGTAGATATATAGTGATTCATTTGAACTAAAGCTCAGTTGGCCTAGAAGGATTTGAGTTATTGGTAATTGGAGAAAATATTGGACAACAGTGACTTTTCAAAAGCTGACCGTTTCTCCTTCACTGATAAAAAGACAAATTGGTAACAGCTTCGTGAAGGAGCCAATAGTCCAAGAGAATCTCAGATGGTTACATACTTTTTCTCTTCATGCTGGTTGCAATCCTCATGTGACTCCTGTACTCACCACCTGTTTGGACTAAGGAGTAAGTTCCTGTGACAGAGGCCCCGTCTTCCAAAAAACCAAACAAAATAACATCTGTACAAAACTAAAATCTCCTAAGACCTTGTGAGTGAATTTCCTAAAAGTGATGAAACCAGACTTGAACTTTTGGGACAAAATTCCTAAAGGGATGCTTGACACAAAAAACACAACACTGCAGCGCAGCAGAAAAACTGGGAGTGAGACACTGTGGTGAGCATAATGGTCCGAGATCGTTCTTCCTTTAGTAGAACTATGTCTTATTTTTTTGTCAAGGTGGATAAAATAATAAACAGTTGAGAACACCATCTTATTTTGTGTCTGCTACAGGCTGAATAGCATACGGTACATCCAAAGAAAGAGGAAAATAGCCCCGCCAGATGAAAAAGCAAAGTTTTGGAATGGCCTTGTCAATCTTGAGCTAAAGCTGATCGAAAACCCTGTGGGGTTTGCTGAAGAAGCTATTGGACAGGATTTCCTTCCACCCTGATAAATCTGGAGAACTTTTGCAAGGGAAAGTCGACAAATATTGTCAAGTCAATATGCTGCCTGCCTACAGATTCCTACTAGTGAAGACTGAATTCTGGAACTCAAGACTTGTTTCAGCAAATTATTCGTTTTTTCCTGTATATTTTCAAGAGCAGCTTTTTATTTCAGTGAAATTATGCAAAAGGACTTTTTACAAAACAGGTGAAAAATAGATATTAGCACCCTTTATATAAGCTGTATGTTTCGACTCCTCCAGGCATTATCCATCTATTATTTCTCTAGAACACAAACAGCAATCAGACAGGAGGTGGATAAGCACTCCTATATTTTAGGACCTGTTATGCTTTGCCATTATCAGAGCCCATCTCTGTTTCTTTTCCTTCACAGTATCCTCCAAACTGAGAGCCCATGCGTACCAAGAAAGATCGCATTGAGATTTCTGACGCTTGCACTGTTGTCTCGCACTTAGCCGTTATCCTCTGGCATTTCCACCCGAGCAGATTTAGCTCAGCACCGAAGCATTTCTCTGTGAACTTTTAAGGATTTTTAGAGAAATCTAATCTGTAGCTCAAAAAGTGACTGAAAGCCTTGCGTGTCTAATGGAGGAAGGTAGAAGCAAAATAAATCTCTTCTTTATCTGTAGACATTACCGTTGTCTCTAAAGAACAATATAACGGGGTAATGTAATATGTTCTGGTAATGTGCATTTTATATCTGCTGTAAATCACTTGCTGTTCCTCTTTTGCCTTTTTTTTTTTTTTTTTCCTTTATCTCCAGAGGACGGTTTCCAGGCTTTCACTCCTAGTGGAAGAAAAGTAACAGCTTGTTAGAATATGCAAAGTTTTATTGGGAAAGTGGATTTCAATAAAAATCTCTGAAGTTTTTTTATTGAAACAAATGCTCTAAACGTCTCCCTCCTAATAAGTTCCTTTCCTAATGGCTAAAAAAAATTAGGGATTAACCAGTAATCAATCTGCTCAGCGCTTCAGCTCAGCAGAGAGTAATAACAGCTTCAATTAAAGTCTAAAAGATGTTCTTTTTTTTCTTGCTTGTATACCATTAAGCCTAATCAGTGTTTCTGGCTAATTTTGATGCTGGCCTAATGGCACGGCCGTGCGTGTTTACCCAGCTAATTTAGTTCAATACACTGAAGTAAGTTGGGTTTTAGTCATTACTCCTATTATTATTTTTTGTTGGAAAACACAACAAAAAATAATAAACAACTCAGAAATAGAGGAGGAAGAGGGAAGGGGGGAATTGGGTACAAATAAAAAACATTTGACAATGCAGGAAATTAATCCTGAACTAAGAAGATGATGCGACTCAGACTTTGTAGAGAATCGGCAGCCTGAGAGGTGGAGGAAAGAGTGGAAGTTTTTTTTTTTTAAAGTGGGGGCAGCTGCTTCCAGCTCAACTTCCCACCTTTTCTTAGGAACAAACAGAAAAATTGACTCTGGCAGAAGAAGATTAGCCTCAGTTTTTCCTCCCTGAGAAGAGTAGCCAGGGCAAGGCGGGGTCTCAGTCCAACCGCAGGAGACCCACCTGCCAGGACCTTTCCTTCTGTGTTCCTGCTCACCTCTCCTCTTCCTCCGTTAGCCCTGCACATCCCGTTTCTGGCTGATTCTGCCCAGATGGGTTTTTTTGGCTGACCCCAATCTCCTCTCTTCCCCCCCAGGATATTTCTGTGAAAGGTTCTTCAGGGGTCATAGGCAGCCGGGTTTGTTGTCAGAATAATCTGTTTCATCCTTTTTTAAGTCCAGCAAGGTGGACTGAGTCTGTGCCACTGACTATAGTCGGATGGACAGCAGACCAGAGGTCCAGAAGACGTCTTTGTGTTCCTCCAGTGAGGATTATATTTTTTGTTTTTTTACATGCAGTCTATCAGTTAATTGATAGGGGAAAAAAAGATCACAAGATTGTTCTAATGCTACAGAAACACAATCATCATACGGGCAAAAAGTGCAAAAAAATGTGGCGATGTTTTAATCCTCTCTAATGTGATAACCCCTCAAATATCAACTGTCTTGAAAAGCCAGATAAAACTAAAAACTTAAGTTCACCTGTGATTTATATGATTTCAATATGATGCAGCTGTTCCTTGCCATAAAGTTTGGGCTTTAAGTAGCAGAATATAGCAATTACTGGAGGACACTGTTACTGCTTAAAATGTGACACATGCAAAACATATGAGTGTGAAAGATAACATTGCCCATCACCCTGGATGTAACATAAACATCTAAATTTTGAAAAATGTTCTCAGCAGAAAGTAATACTTTTGGAAAGCACTTTACTGTGTCTAATTCCTACTGTTATCTATTGTCAGATTTTCTAACGTTATGCACTAAAAAGAAACATCTCTCTAAAAGTAATCATGCCCTTTAATATGTGAAGGATCTAAGCTCCGCCAATCCACCTGGAATAAACATTAATAGTTTACAGGACATGTAGTTTTAGTGAGTGTGTGTGCATGTGTGTGCGTGCGCTGAGGAAAGGAGTTAAAACCTAAGACGTGGTGATGAGAAGCATGCGGTAATCGTTTGCTCCTCGGATTATGAGAAACAATAACTCAATGCTTGTGTATGATCAAACACATGGATGGAAGACTGTCCTTGGTGCTCCGAAAACAAACATCACCCCTGTGTCTCATAACTCTCCCACTATTATTGGAGATGGTGATTTGATATTGATTAGGTTTCATGAGAGCCCAGTGCTCATCTCGCTTATTGTTCCACGGGACAGAAAGGAGGTTTGTCCTCCCTTGGGTATGGTGGCCTTGTGAAAGCTGTATTATCTGCTGTTATGGCTTCTTAGCAGCTCGTGTCCTGACTCTACGATGGCGCTCATGACTCAGGCGCCACATTGTGTGGTTCGTGATAAAGCAATTATTTCCCATGGCCCCACGGAGAGAGACAAAACTTATCCGTCTCTGCGTTGAGCCTTCGGTACATGTCTTATTTTTCTCATTGTCTCCGCTTTTGTTTTGGGTCAGTAGATGTGAAATGGGCTTGTTTCCAATTAATGTGTCTGCCACCGATGGGAGAACAAGATCAACTAAAACATAACACACAGCTTTCAGTGTTGAAAATCACTCCTGCTCTTCATCTGTGAGAGCACTGAGTTACTGACACGTGCATGCTCATACAGAGCTGGTTATCGTACACTTATGCTTGCTTTCACAGGTGCTGATTGAGGCAACCGTTTCCAGGGAGCGGCGAGGTTACATTGCCTTAGATGACATCATGGTGCTCAACTACCCCTGCTGTAAGTGCCACTTCACACAACAGTTGCACAAGGTGCTGCATGCCAGCCACATTAAGTGATTGTTATGTAGAAATGTGTGAAAATATATCTCAAAGCCGCTCAAAACATCAATAGAGCTAAACGAAGAGTTATGACTGAATAACCTTTCATGGCAAGTGGGTTTATCACACAGCACTCTGACTGGATCTTCAAACCAGATATCTGAAACATTTTTAAAAAATTAAATTTTTATATCCCTGATTAGGCTTTTGGATATTTCAAACAGTGCTCATCAAAGAATAAATGACATTTCTTTTCTCAGTGAAGTGTGGAGTGAAGAAGCTCCAGATACCAATAACAATGTTTTTCCTGCCAATTTCTTGGTCAATAAAATCACAACTTGTGACAACCACAGTGTAAATATCTGGTGATAATATTATTAGTATTAGTATTATTAAATGATTATTTTGTAGAAGGAAAGCTGTAATTGTGGATATGTGGAGCTGGAGCTGGTAGAAAGGAAAATTGAATCAATTTGTCCAAAAACTGACATTTAGGACTTTTAAAATTTGTAAAGGTGGAAAGACTCTTCTATGTAAACCAATTAAAAAGAATACATTTAAATTGTGCCTAATGCGTCAGCGCTGCCACTTTAATTTGAAAGATTTTTCTTTCTCCTAACACAATTCCAAGTTTTGAGCTGTAAAATAAGTACAACATTATTTTAAATAGATATATTTAATGTTAATTCTAACTAACATTATTGAAAGATAACAGCCTATGTTACTAGAATACTATAGATGTTACAAAGTCAAAGTCATTGTGTTATACCATTAGTATGCACAATTGGTTCTGAAAACCCCGAATACACAAAATGTCAACACTTACTTTTGCTCTATGATTGTATCTTTAAAGCACTTACTGAAGCTGCTTTTCTGGGCAGATTTTACAGTTCGTTTTTAAAAGGCTTTTTTTCCCCACCAACTGTCACAGTCTAAAGCTTTGTGAGAAGGCAGTCCAGGGAAGGCAGTCCAAAGGGCTTTTTGTGTCAGTAGTGGAAGAAGAGTGTTGCAGTTCGGTGTGTTCTCGGCCCCTAAGGACCTCCTGCAGAACAGAGTGACTAAGACACCTGAACGTACCTGGACAGAGCCACTCTCTTAACTCGAGGCGCCTTGTCGGCACACTCAACACTTCCCAAACTCAAATGGGGATCAACTCCCTGCTAATGTCACAGGAGAACTGTTGTGATTCTGATGAAGTTGGACATTGCAGGCTTTCTGTGCTACAGATCAGCGTTTTTATGACGAGAACACCAGCTGTGAGATTGGGTCACACTCGTACTGTATACTTACCACCCAGCAGGCCACCCTGCTACTCCCAGACACAACAGATGGCATCTGCTGACTGCTCCCACTGTGGCCATTAAATAATTAAGACTCTCATCAAGACCTGAGCGCGCCTTATGATGTGGCGCTTGGCCAGCTGACATCTCTTGGCAGGAGGAGTGTGGGGGAAGTACGAGACAGAAGGCAGCAGAAACCGTTAAATGGTCAAAAATAGAATAAACCTATAAAAAACCCTCCATGTTAAGAATTCTGGTTAAAGCACGGTTGACATTTCAGTTTTATTCTCCTGAGTCGCAGTCTTTGACTCTGAAACTAGTGTTGCAGTTCAATGAAATATTCATCATGCTAAAGAGTCCTGAGGATAAGATCTGACACATTTAGCCGTACAACAGTGAGGCTCCAGCCAACTGGGGTGCATAGTCTTTTTCACTCGTGCTCATCTCCCTGTTTGTTTACTGTCTGTTTAACTCTCAGGCATAAATAATGAAACATTCGGAGAGGAGGGCGGGGGGCGTGCAGTTGCTCAAAGGAACATGGTGGCCACATGTGGGGTACAAATACAAGCACTTTCCCTAACTTACTGTACAGAAACAAGATCAAGAAATTTTCATCTCCATCTCTGCAAAATAGAGACACAGTTTTGTGCAAATCTGAGCGGAGATGAGTGCGATCCAAACATTTGCTTCTCCCTGATGCTTCTGCTTCACAGTTGCTCTCTCGTCGCCACCTGCCAATCATCTAGAGTGGCACGTCGGCATGTCCTACACAGTTTTCTCAGGGATGGCTGGCAGCGTGGTCGGCATTTACCCGGCACTTTGGCACAGCAGGGGGTTGCTTCTCACTCTTTAATTGTTAATTGCAAAGTTGGACGAGAGAGCCACTCCCACATGCTGACTCATTGGCAGCTTAACTCACCACACTGGGACATTATTAGTCAATCCGTGGAAGGTTGATGCTCACTCTGTGGCTTTTCTTTGGAAACTCACACCTACATTATGCTCATCAATAGAGGTCGATCCTGTCTCTGAGCAAGTTATTTTAGTAATAGACACTCTGCAGACGTTTTCAAGCATGTTTGCTTCAGATTCTTTTTTTTTTTCAGGATTGATACTCTCCTAGACCAAATCTTCCACAGGAAGAAATAGCAAATGTTCACATTTTGTGCTGGTGGATTATAAATAGGTTTGACGATGGAAGCAAGAAACTAAACAAATAGAGCAGGAAAGTTATTGAAAATGTAAACAAATTGTTCACTTAGTACCCAAAAGTTTAATGTTAATTTTTTTGATTTGGTATTTATAATAAATATAGAAAAAAATATTAAGATTATAAAATACATTACAAACACAGTTTAGAGAACAGAGTCAAGTTATAAACATCTATTAGGGTTGGAGTTCTAGAGCAGAAGTGGGTCTGACTTTTTTCCTCTAATTTTCTCAGAAATCATCGATGATCAATTCAACCTTTTCATTTAGTTCTTGTGAGGAGCATTTAATTATTTGATCTTAAAGTTCTTGAATGGGTGTGGATTTGTGAAATGTGATGTAGATAGGATGGTGCTAGACCATGAAGAGTGTTAAACACCAACAACAAAAGATAGAAATCTCTCCTGTTACATGGTCATGTTTTCATGTATCGGCCAGGAGTCATTTTCTGTCAGGCATTCACTTTCACCCTCCGATTCCAAAGACAGGAAGACTGTTGTCTCAAATTTCTTACAATATCCTGAGTGTCTTGGAGCAAAAAAATAAATGGTGGACTACAAAAAAAAATCACCTGTGTTGAGCCAGAGGATCTGATGAGCTCTCCAATAAGACAAAGGTATCTGATTCTCAACTCAGATTATGACCCGTACTAAGGCTGACTGCAGCCCAACATCCACAAGACAAGGTCTGGACTTCAAAAACCAAAACATGCATTTAAAGACCTTCTCTTCTTCATACAACGTTCAACTTTCCCCTTTTGACTTTGCAAGGAAGCACCAAAGATGTACCTTTGACAGATGGAAGAAAGTGACAAGACAAGGTTTTGTTAAGACAGTCCTGATGGCTTTAAATATTACTGGTATGACAATAACTCCCATTGAAGATATTTTCTACATAAGAGTGAAGGAGGCTCTCTTGTGATCTAAGGAGATTTTGACTTCAGTGGAAGAATGGAGCTTCAGGTTGTTTAGGGGCATCAAGTGTGCAGCTGGCTATGTGGAGATGTTGCAATTGATATTCTTCTTTCCTGGGAGCCATTGTGTCTGCAGTGATACGGAGTCTTTTGTGCTAAAAGCTGTAGTTCAAACCTGTTTTGTACCAATCTGTTTGTTCTCCTCATCTAATTTCCACAACTAAATGAGGATGAATTGCAGGGGTTTACAAAAATAGATGTCTTTTTCTGAGCATACATACCCTCTTATGAAAACACTCACCACAAACACATCGAAGCAAATATTTGAAGAGATCAACCAGAATGGTGCTACTATGACCAATTCCTTTTTTGGCACTCTTACTTCCGTTTTTCTCATTGACGGTTGTAAACTTTTGATCAACTAATGAAAAGCCTCTGATGTAATTTTCAAGAAATTGCTTTATCTTCATCTTTTTTTTCCACTCATCTTACAACGCCCCATATTGCATTGATCTGGAGCAAAAACCATGCTTTATAAGAGGCCTTTATTTAACTTTATTTTTTTGTGAATTACAATGTGAACTGCTTTTTATTATGAAGTTGAGAAATTACAAAAAATTATAATGTTTCTTGTTTTCTTTCACTTTTAAGAGAAAGAAAGAAAATGTGAATGTTTTGAATATGAATCACACACAGATAAAGGCTAGAAGAAAAATTTAATTGCGACAATTTATTAAATCAAATTGAAATTTGCACCTGTCCCGTTGTAATCAAGAAAAGCCTGGGTGATTCTCTTTCTTTTTTTTTTCTTTAGATAAGGCCCCACACTTCTCCAGGCTGGGAGACGAGGAGGTAAACGCTGGCCAAAATGCCACTTTCCAGTGCGTTGCAGCTGGAAGGGCCTCTGAGGCGGAGAAGTTCCTACTGGAGGTAAGTAGTGTGATGGAGTTTCCGACTGAAGTACCTCATGTATTTGAGCTTGTTCAGTTATTTCCATGAACAAAAGCAATGTGAAATGTCGTATCAATAAAAGCAAGAACTGAATTTAGTTCATGTTATATTGCCATAGGGTATGGCTGAGTTAGTTTTTCTGTTTTCTGATTTACACCAGAGCAAAGAGTAATCAAATAAAACTCTATGATTATACACACAGAGTCCTTAAACATCGTATGGATGAATTATTAATGTTTGACAGGAGATACGAGGCTTGGTCAAGGGCAAAATGTTTCTTGCCGTCATTTCATCGACTTGTTTGGTTGTGAAGTAAGAAGTTTCTGAATAAAATGTTAAAAAATAATCAACATATTCTTGGCTGGAAAGGTCAGGAGTTGACAACCAGCCCAGAATAAAGGAATGAGTTTGTAATCTAAAGTGGAAATTGGGAGCTGGGTTGTTACTTTAGGATTTGTAAGCTGTCATGTTGTTTTCTAATAAAGAACAAAACTTGCTTTTGTGGATGTGTTGGAGTGTCATAACTTGCTTTTTCTATAGATATGACTTCTATAATGTTCTAGAAAAAAATGTTTTCTTTACTAAATGAAGAAATTCAAGTCAATAAGAAATTTCTTACTTTGTAAATGTTAATACACCTAACATTTCTAAGAAAACATTAAAAATGTTAACTTTTTTGGAAGCGGGATGTAAGACTTTTTTTACAAGACACTTTTAAAAGTTGAATGCTCTGGAGGCTTTACAGGTGGATGTTTCACCTGATTCTAGCAAACCGGCCCAGAGCAGCTCCTGCAATCCTTTATCTTCTACTTATCAGAGATTAGTCTGCAGTACTAGCAGGTCCTGGCACAAAAACATCAGACGTCCCTCTTCCCAGTGACACTCTACAGTTGGGAGAAGAGATTTGCAGACTTTCAGTCAACTTTCCTGTCTGCCTCCTCCCGTTCAGAGATGCCCATAAACATTGATGTTTACAGAAGTTACCCTGTCCAGATGCCTTCAGCATCTCAGCTGACTCTGCAGAGAAGCAGCAGTTTTACTCCAACCTTCCCCTCCTGCTCTACTTCAGCCGTCCTATAGGTAGAGCTCAATTCAGCTGCTTGCGTTCAAGATTTCTGCCATATAATCTGAAGATGGACTAAGACGCAAACAGGAGCTGGAGAGGAACACTGAGTGCATATTTTACTGATAAATAAGAAAACGTATAAAGCTTGTGACAGGCAGAGAAAAAAGAAAAGGCAACGGGATGCAGCTTAGGGGAAAATAGATGGAGGAACAAGCAGAGAGTATTACAGACCAGACAGCTTAAATACACTGCAGTGGAGAAGACAGTGGCATGGGAAGCAGAGGGACTAATCAGAGGCAAGCACAGGCAGCTGGGGAAGAGAGCAGGCAGAGGGAAATTAGGATATGAAGACCAAATCCAAGTTGATAAACAGGAAAAGATTAAAACAGGAAACGCAGATTATGGGATTGCAACAATCTTCATGACAGTCTTTTGTTCAAATCAGCGTTAAAAACAAACATCTGTTTTACTGTAAAAGAAGCCTTAAACTACTTATCTTTCCACCACTTTATCACATCACTTGTGAACAAGACACCAACTCCTCTGCTTGACACCACTACGTAATTCTTAAAATCTGATGATACCTACTGAGTAACGAATCAAACAATTGGAAAATATAGCCATAACAGATCTGGAAAATACTGATGAATAAGTGGAAATATTTTACTTCCCAGATTTAAATAGATCTAAAATTGTAGAATTGACACCATCCATTATTTCTAACCTGACCTGCACCAACCAAGCTTCATCATCAGATTCTTTCAACAGGTTCAGAAAACATACCGCAGAGACACAACATAGAAAATGTGCTTTGGGAATATAATAATGAACCATTTTTTATAGTTATAAACCAAGAGAAAGAGCTGACAGTACGGTCTGGACTTGTTCACAGCTTTTGATAACACACACCTCACAGAAGAAGTTTTTCTATTGGAGATGTTCTTCCTCACTATTAGGCTTTAATGTGTGGATTTCTGTTTGTTTCAACCCTTTCTAGCTGCTATCTCAGGACTCGCCCTCCATAGAACCTAGAAATAGTGTCGACATCTGCCATAATAAAAGCCCTAAACATAAGCTGTAAAAAAATGAAACAAAGCCCAAAGTAATGGATTGAATCCCAGAGAAATCCCAGTGAAATCCCAGTGAATCAAAGGCTTTATTGTGCCTAGATTTGATGGATGAAAATATCAATGTATAGCAGTGAGAAACTACACTTTACTGTGCTGCAGTTGCATTATTGGAAGCATCTCTGGGTTCCTGAGGTACAGCTCAGACCTCAATCACCATTCCAAAGGTACTAGACGAAGCGGGAGTAAGTTAAACTAATTCCCTGATCAGTTTTGCTTTTGATTCCCTTAGCGGTCCTTTTGCATATGTTCCTTTTTCAGATCTCCTAGTTTGCAGCCTTTACTTCCAGGATGATCTTCTTTTCAACTCCATCCATCTTTCTATAAACGACACCATGACACATCTGCTTTGTTCCTTTTTCCTCAGGATGCTGTTTGTTCCCTAATATCTTTTAAGCACCTCTGAGATCTCGCACAGTTTGACACAAATAATGTTATTTCTTATTGTTGTTGAATTTCAATTATCTGAGTAAAATATGTTGAAGACCAACTGATGGCACACTTTTTAGGTTTTTATTTGTGAGCAATTGTCAATTACCGCTTGCATAAACTCTCATAGTCCGATTAAAGGACATTTGAGTTCATGTCAAGACCTGTTCTTTAAAAAAAAACGTCAAAAGAAAAAGGATAAAAACTGGCTCACATATCTTTTTAAAGGCATTCTGTTTACATCCTTTTATTTCACATCTTCTTCTTGATTTTTCTCTTTGTTGTTCTTTTTGCAACTTTCCAAACTGAGATTTGAACAGTCTCTTCAAAGAAAATCTAAGGCTCTTGGGCACAAATGTTCCCACACAGATCCCTTTAGTGAAGCAAATCAATAAGTTAGGTTTAAAGTTTTACTTAGAACCACTGCAGTAAGTAGAAAATGTTGCCTCACATAACCCGTCAAGAAAGGATTTATGCCGTTGTCATTTTTCCCGTTGCATTTATTGAGACAAAACTCTTTCTAATGTTTCTTTTTCTTCTTCTTTGACTCTTTCAGAGGAGGTAGAGGAGCTCCAGACATTTCTTCTGTTGTTGTTTCTGTGCTTCTAAGGAATAAAATGTCAAGAGATTTCAAAATGTTGATATCTTGTTATAGTAAAGTTACATCAAACTACATATTAATTGCTGCTGCCAACATCTTCCCACCCACAACAGCTAATGTTCATCACGTCTGATCAAGGCAACCCTGCTGCATTGTGTAAAAGTAGCTCATGTTTGACTTTGGTAACTGAAGTGTGCTCCCTCTCACCTATTTCGGCAGTTGCCTTTTATCCTTTGTATGAAGACAAATGCTTGGGTAATTAGCTGGCAAAAAATATATAATAAGTACTGATAATTACTGCAGAGCTCCCCCCATAGCCTCTCCTCTAGAATAGCTCTCCTCTTCACCATCTTCTTGTCTCTCGATCCACTTCTTATATAATCCTAAAGCCGTGTTTTTATGTTGCTGTGTTGGTTGTGTATGCTGTAACAGCTGCAGATCAGTCTTGGCTGCTCACGCCTGCCAGATTAACAGATCGTTTTGTCATTTCCTTGCCAATTAGCCACAGCCAGATTGTTTTGATAACATGAAGTGATCTCATGCTTGTTTGATTTATTCAGATTTTTCTTGCCTCTCCTCTTTAATCCAAATTCTATTTGGCAAAAGGGAGGAATGGAGAGACTTAGAAAAGTTATACCCACAGAACCGTCTCGCAAGTTGTCATATGACAACCACAAACTTAAAAATACATTTCACAGGAATTACACAGTATTTAGTGCTGGTCTGGCATGTACAATCTCAATTAAATACACTGAAGAAATGTTCAAAGAGAAGGAATACTTGACTAAGATACTATAAAACATTTAGAGATGATTTAAGACTATGTGATTAAGCCCTTTTTTTTCATTTTTTGTGGCGTCAGGAGTGGTTGCTTGCTTAACCCTAATCGGTGGTTTTAGTGTTTATGTGTTTGTTTGTGAAGCTTTGGTATGTGGATAAAGTGGTTTGTGGCTTTTTGCAGGCCGTCAATTCAGGGTTTGAGCAGAAGCTGAGAACGTGCAGTGGTACCCAGAGGTTTCCCTGCTGTTCCCGACATACTCACTTGCTTTGGATTGTGCTAAAGCACACAGATCAAAAAGTATCACGATTTATATACACCGCTTCACACAAAGAAAATTGCCTGAAAACATGAGACAGAAAATATCAGCTCCTGTGTGAGTTTTTGAGACTTCATGGGGTTGACAAATGTTACTTGTTTTAATGGTGTGGAACAACGTGAGAAATGTGCTTGCAGTGCAGGAGCAAGGTGAATCACACAGCATTTGTTTGGATGTCCAGCTACGGGTGTTTAAGTATGTGAGGGTGTTTGTGGGCTCTCAGTTTCTGAACTTTAATTTCATATTCACACTTTTATCTTTTGTTCTGCAGTGAAACATTCAGCTACTCATTGCTGTCCTTTTTACTAAACTGATCAAACATTAATGCATTGAAGCTCAACTGCCTACCTGTTCCAGCTGCTAAACAGGAGTCAAGTGTTTTCACTAAATTATATTGCAACATTTGTAGATGGGGTCTATTTGGGAATATCACTAATGATGTGCACTACCTCCGTAATCAGCATCAATTCAAAAAGATTTCATTTGTAATTATTAAAGCATGTCTGATTGTCACAATGCAAGAATAAATCAGTTAGATGGTCCTTCATTTCTAGCTAAGTTCAACATAATTGATCAATTCTTCATTTTAATCACACAGTGCTAATAAGAACTGACCCATATAGCAATAGCGTGTGTGCACTGTTGCGTTTGAGTCCCAGGAGCTCACTGGGCAATAACTGTGTGCGGGGCATGAATGCAGGATGTGGTAGATCAGATGTGTTCAAGAGAATACAACAAATACTGTTCATTACAAGATAAAAAGGCAAGGAAATAAGTGATTGCACGAAGAAAATAAAGAAACTACAATGATACTATGGTTTTCCTCATTGACCTGAGTCATTTTAGAATGCCAATATTTCATTAAACTTATTACAGTGCAAATGCTTGAATGCTCAGTAGGTTTAAAGTTAAATATAATCACTTTGTAGTTCTATTGCTATCACATTGGCCTTTGTTAGTACTGTGATCATGTTCCACTTAGCTCTAATCAATGGATGCTGCAGCTTTCCTTTACAGTGAGACTATTTTTTGTCTCAACAGGACAAATGATTAAAATGATGCTTCAAAAGAGGTTAGCTGGATTAAGGGACCACCAGCTGCAATGACAATAACAGAAAACACTTTTGTTTTTAAATACTGCAATGCAAACCTACCAAGCCATGGCTGACAACCTAAGGTTATATCGTGACAAAATAACACTCACTTCCTATCTGTTTCTTCATTTTCTTGAAAAATTATGTTTTTGTTACATGTTTACAACTTGTTGACATGAAAAAAAAGAAAGTCATTGTAGAGCAAGGAATTGCCTAGTCTAATATTCAACGAATTAGAATAGACTGCAGGTTAGAGAGAAAACTGCAGCAGTAAGTACAGTCTTTCTTTTGCAACAAATTTAAAATACCAGTTCAACAATAACAAGAATGTTAAGTTGAATTCAGTCGATGACTGGATGACTGAACATTGTCAAAGACTGATCATTTTAAAATACTTTCATCCTGTCATCCCAGCAATTTTAGTAAATGAGTTAAACAGGCAGCACCAAGACATAAAGGAGCAGTCTGCCAAATATTATGACTGAATGCCACCTTCCACTCATAAAGAGTGAAAAATAAGGAGCAATAAGTTTGACATATTTGATCTTCTATAACACAGACCAATAGGCCCTAGCACAGGAACTGAAAATCATGAACCATTATATGGTTTAAAGAATCATACTAATACTGAAAGTTATGTTTTTTTTAAATGTTATGTTTTTTGAAATGTTCAAAACTATCCAACTCCTGTTATTTGCATATTTTTTCCAGGTGCTATACAATTTTTGGTATGCCTGGAAGAGCTGTACAGTGTTTTTGCACATTGTGGATGAATGAGTGCAGGTTACTTTCTGAATGACCTGACACATAGCTGTATTTGTCAGTGAGAGGTACACATGATGACCCATCTTGTTTTCTCTGACCCTGTCCTCTCCTGTTTTCCAGAGACACAATGGCGACATTTTAACTGCAGCCTCAGTCAAGCACTTGAGTCATCGGCGCTTTGTGGTGTCCTTCCAGCTAGATAGTGTTCAGCGCTCAGATCAAGACTTGTACCGTTGTGTCACTCAGTCATCCAGGAGCTCCGGGGTGTCCAACTTTGCTCAGCTTTTTGTGAAAGGTAAAAAAAGGAAATAAAATGTCTTTTCTAACTATTTTGCTTCCAACCAGTATGAAATTTCAAAGTGATATGTTTTTCTTCTGCTCTTGATCACTTGCTGAAGCGTGAGATAAAGTCTAAATATATATCTAATTAAATTGTGCCAAAACAGTTAATCTTGAACTGTATCCCATTGGTATTATTAACGCAAAAACTGGCATCAAGAAGTTGAAGTTGTCAAACACGCTGCCATCTTGAGCGCTTCAGCTCTCTGACAAAATGCTGCTCACTTGACTTGGACTCCTGCAGACCCTGTCATATCATGAAGCACAGATGGTGACCTCACTCTCATTACTCACCACAGCCCAACAGCCTGACACGACTCTGACAGCATAGCAATGACATGGCAGTGGTTTGATGGCATAACAGACTCCAGCCCTCAGCTAAGTGAAGATGAGAAGGGGAAACAAGGACATCACATATTCCTGTCTTCTTCTCTTGGTTGCTCTAAATTCAGCTTAAAGCTTGCAGGAGAAGAAGCACAGATGTTGGCATTTGCTCTGTTGTTGTTATTGTTTATCTCAATTTTTTACAAAATATTAACTGCTTTTATGACATTGACATTATTGTAACCTTGAGCAAAAGTCGCTGAATTTGCATAAAATAGAATTAAATTTAAAAATATGTATTGGCGCAGTTGGTAGCACTATTGGCTTGCAGCAAGAAGGTCCTGGGTTCGATTTCCGGACCGGGGTCTTTCTGCACGGAGTTTGCATGTTCTCCCTGTGCATGCGGGGTTCTCTCCGGGTTCTCCGGCTTCCTCCCACAGTCCAAAAAACATGACTGTCAGGTTAATTGGGCTTTCTAAATTCTCCCTAGGTGTGAGTGCATGTGTGTGTGGATGGTTGTTTGTCCTGTTTGTTTCTGTGTTGCCCTGCGACCTGTCCAGGGTGAACCCCGCCTTTCGCCCGGAACGCAGCTGGAGATCGGCACCAGCAACTCCCAACCCCAATAGGGAGAAGGGTGAACAGAAAATGGATGGATGGATGGATTTTAAAATACATTATTTAGGCTGACCAGCCGCATTTAACTGCTTTTTTAGCTCTGCATGTATCTCAGACATCTCATTAGAACCACTCAAGTACAGCATAATGAAAAAATGTATCTTGCAAGTTTGGCTATTTAGTTGAAGGCGAGTGAATCCAGCTCCACTCAGACTCTCATCACTGCTGACAAGTCTGTCAATGCGTTCTGCTGCTGCACAGTTTAAATCCCGCTAACTGATGTGAATACATCAATCCATTTTAGTCTTTTCATAACATGGATGCTATATAAAGAATCTCTTTTCACTAAACTGTTATTAATCTTCCAACCATCAGCTGCCTCTGAATCAGGAAAAAATCCGTAGAAAAAAAACAGCCTTGCAATCCATTCCTTCTTCTTACATTCTTAAGAAGAATGTTCTTGTTACGGCTGCTATGACTCTTAACTTTTCAGACAAAAATATGCTTCAAAAAGTTATGTGAAAGTCAGATTAAAGTCTCTTCTCCTCCCCTGCAATGCTCTGAGGCTTTAATGAGGTAGGCCCACTCATTTTAGTAATGTTGAAAATGTGCAGGAATAGTACAGAAACTCACTTATTGCCCCACAGCAGACAGCAACTTTTCACATAATTAAAAATAAACAAATTCATTGTTCTCCATTTTTCTCAGACTTTATTGTACCCCTGCAGTACCTTTGCATTTAATTTAGACTATAGCTCGAGATATGCTGCATTTGCACACCCAGATTCATAACTCTGAAGGTAGATATGATCTTAATTAAACAACGCCGGTGAGTTGATTGTGGGGAGCTATAAAACAAACAGAAAATACCTCTCAAATAAATTAAATTCAAGGGTACAAGACGAGAAGAACTTCCTATTTGCAAACTTTGAAAACTGCCGAAACCATGAGTGAGTTATTTAAACTTTAATCACACTGGCCAATGCTTGTGGCCTAAAGATGCCCTTTTAGTTCAGAAGCGGTCGATGTCAAAACAAACAGCTGCAGGCTAAGGGAACCAGGACGTGAGCTTCTGGTAATGTGTAAAACACACACTAAGTTGGGCCGTAAAAGACTGAGGCGGCTCTGCTGGAATGAATGATTAGTCACAGCAACAAATCTCACTCTGATCTCTTCTCATGCCTTGTCGACATTTCTTTTCTATTCCCATTCCTCACTCACACGGTGTAATTGATCTGCCTGTAAGTGACATTTGACCGGTGGGCTGTGGTATAAATTCCTGCTTTGGAAATCCTGAGTGACAGTGATGCAGAGTCTCCTGTTTCATCACTGTGAGCAACTCTGTGGACAGATAGAGAAAAACATAAACGCGCTTAATCACAGTTAAAGGCTTGTCACATGCTTTCCTTTTAGTGTACAGCTGCTCTTTCCCTGTCACGACTTTTTCTGAAGTTCATTCAAGCCTGTGAATGCCTTGCCAATATGAATGACTAATTAACTGTAACCAGAATTTGGCCTGCTCACATCATTGTAGTCCTTACAGCTCCATCTGAGACATAAAGCTTTAAGATACTTATGGTTGCATAATACTGATCGGAAACGGTATTATCCTTTAAGATTGTTACATTTTGCAGCAGTTTAAGTGTTTTTCATTAAAATAAAGGGGCCTAAAGTGGAAAATAAAAACACACTGCTTTCCTCTCACAGTACCTCCATCCCCCATCGCGCCGCCTCAGCTGCTGCGCGCCGGCTCCACTTACCTCAGCATCCAGCTCAACACTAACTCTATCCTGGGAGATGGCCCCATTATCAGGAAGGAGATTGAGTACCGGGCTAGTCAGTCCCCATGGTCAGAGGTGCATGGAGTAAACACGGTCACCTATAAACTGTGGCACCTGGATCCGGACACTGAGTACCACATCAGCGTGCTGCTAACTCGACCTGGTGAGGGTGGAACCGGCCCCCCTGGACCTCCGCTTGTCAGCAGAACCAAGTGTGCAGGTGAGCCCTCTAATCTCATTTCAAGTCTACTTGGCTTAATGCAGCCGCAAGCAAAACCTTATGCAGCTACTTTGTAAAAAGTTCTCATTATTTTCCTGTGAGTTAATCTCAACTATGTAAAATGTATGTAAAGTATTTCATTTCATGTTAGGAGAGACATGTATTAAGGTGAAAACATATCTCTTTCTAACCTTTATTTATTATTTATCTACACTAATAATTTTTAAGTTACTATGCAACTTTCCCTTCAGGGGTTACTCTGTAAAAAAAACACAACAAAAACAAAAGATTGGTGTAAGCCCAGTGCTTCTAATCAAATTGAACTTTTTGTTTGCTTTATTGTGCATTTATCAAACATTAGAAACCCTAGAAGGAACATTTAATCTGAATAATGCTGAAGATCATTGTCTGCCATATCAATCACTTTGTAGCCCTAAACCTTGATGTGTATTAAAAAGCTTAAGATGATTAGTGATTTATTTTTAAGCGTCACAAGCATCCAGCCAAAGTATCAGACAAAGAGTTTCATCTGAGGATAATTAAAGTTTAAGAAAGATCTAGAGAAAAGCCAGAACTACTGCTGCAGGTAAAATTATTTAAACCCCCCCGTTAATTAGGCTATTTGGCAAAATATACAGATTAGAAATGGCTTCAATGGATTTATCCGAACCAAACACAAAATGCAACTTTAACGAACTATTGCAGTCTCAAAATTATTCAACCACTTTATGACAAATGTGCTTAGTACTTTAGTAGCAACCTTCTAAAGTTGGAAAATGCTGCAAATGTGATTTACAGCCAGACATTAGCCTCTGGCAGCATTTATGAAGAATATTCTGGTGACATTTAATGGACACACCATATCCTTGACCATCTTCTGTAATCGAGCCGTTTTTAGGATTTGACCAATGATTGGGATTATTGTATGGTTTAAAGTTCCAATTAACCCTATACCAGATCCAAGCCCAGTTTGAGACTCCATTGATAAACTATCCTTGATAACATGGGGGAAAAAATCTTTGAAATATTAGTTTTATTCCATATTTTACCTTGTGGGATGAGAATCTGTGGATAACAAATGTCCTTATTTTTAGTAGATGGTTAGAAATTTTCAAAAAGTTTTTTTGTGTTGATTCTAACATGTATTTTTTTTTACCTTTATTGCACAACCTCAGATTTTTAATGTTGTTTTACATTTGTCTGAAAGCAAAAATTTCCAACAAAACCTACCTAAGGTTATCAGAATAAATTTTTTAAGAAGAACATGCAAACGGTACCAAACAGTCAGCTCAATGAACTTCATATTTGTGTAAGACTCATTCCCCATTAATATATCTTATTAATGGGTCTTCTTTTTATGTAATGAAGTTATTCTAATTAAGCTAGTGGCCACATGCTGTAACTTAAGAGACTCTTTCATTATGAGACCAAATCTGCCACAGTAATCTGCTGAAAATTCAATCAGAGAGGAGCAAACTCTGACTCAGTCTTCGCAAAGACTTATCTTAAAAGAAAAGAGACATTTGTTATCACCCAGATTCTCTGAACTCTGGAGCTGTAGGAGACTTAGGGTGAGGCTTTAATTGCTTCTTGCATGGCAATATTGGTTTGAGGGTTATTTGAAAGATAACGGATAGATGATAGCTTTAGTTGGCCTTAAGCGCTCTTCTTTGGTATATACTGAGGAAGACAGACATATGGAAATAATGTCAAATGAACAGGAGTTCGTAGTTTTTTTCTTTTTTCCCCCCCGATGTCTGAAAACAGGACAGGCATCAGGAAACAGTGGTTGGCCGCAGAGGTTAGCAGCATCACCACAGAGGAAACATCCAGCATATACACTAAGGTTAAATCCACTACCCAGTTGAGAACGCTTGGTGTGGAGTTTGTGTGCTTATCTGGCTTCATGACTAATCGTTAAATGGTTTTAATTCAACATTAGCATGAGATTTAGTTTACATGGTTAACCATATGTATGAGAAACCTTTTCTGTGTGGGAGTAATAAATCAGGTTTCTAAGAGAAATAGATCAAATGAATACTGACTGGATGTACGGAGACATCATGTGGGAGTGAGCAATTAATCTGACTGCACACAATGACATGTTAACATTAGCGTGAATCAAATATATTACATCTTGTCTTGGAGAAAGACTTATTGCAAAAATACCGCTGTACTATTAATTATAGCTTTTTATTAAAAGTGCCTGCTCTTTTCAGATAGCAGCAAAGAATTTAGCACAAGCCATCGTGCCATATATTTGCACACAAACGAGAAACTTGATTTTTACTCCACCTTTCTCTCAAGGAGACATTTATAATATAAATATATAAAGGAGAGGAAATGAAAAATAGTACAGTGCATGACATTGTAACAAATTTGGTCTTATAGTTGATAAAGGTGAAAACACTTATCAATTTGCCGTATTAGCTGTCCTTTGGATGTGTAGTCACTATCCTCGCTCAAGGAGAATAACAATATTCGTTACAGCGACATCCAGGCTAATTTTTTCAAAATATATGCACACATAAAGCTTGAAAACATTGTTTTGAGGCAGACATACTCAGAGAAGATTAGGCAGTCATTAGTGCTGCTTGAATCTGCAATGTGAGCGTTGTGTAGTCACAGGGGCACAAAAAGGAAAAGCTTTTGTTACCCCCAGGCAGACGATTCATGTCTTCCATGGTCATCACTCTTTCCCATGCCCAATGGTCTCTCCCTGCCACACACCATCCGTCGCATTTCTTCCGACCCTGCTCCAGCAGAACCTCCCCGGCCTTCTCTCAGATGACATATTAAAGCTACTCTCCCGAACTGAAAGCCAAAGACACCTCTCATTCATCAGTCTTTGTGCACTCCTTCGCTTCCCGACACACCCATCTCCAGCTGAAGAGTATCAAATAATTCACAAAGGAAAAAAAAGGAAAGAAACTAGTGGGGAAGGGTTGGGGACCTGTGACTGTTGAACAGAAATGGTGAAAATGAGATGAAGTGATACAGGATTCAGTTGGAGATTACTCTAATAGCTGCTGCTTCCCGTGTTTGTGAAAGTCACTAAACTCAGTCCTTAATGATTTATTTACATTTCAACCAGTGTGACATTAGCTTGTTCAGCCATGTGTGGGATAAGTGATGATGTTGGGTTTGCAGAGCTGTTCAAGTGGGCATTTAAATGCAGCACAAGATTATTACAGAAGCCATATAGGTGATTTAACTTTTTTTTTTTTTTGCCTTTCACCGTTTATGGATATTGGTTTTATTTGTACAGTGGATCTACATGCTGTACTCACTCTGTTATTCAGGCAAGTTTTTGACATATGAAAATAAGATGAAGATAAATCCTTTTAAAACCGTTTCACCTCCACCATAAGTTCATACTTGCCATCGATTCGAGCGAATCTAACAACCTGAAGCGAAGTACAGCTCTTCTAGTTGGAGTTTTTTCACATGTGCATCTTTTAACTAAAGTCTTGGTTTGCAAACAGGTCACAAAATATCAAAATTATATCCTTGAACAATGGCATAAACCACAAGCCAACAATTCTACATAATTAAATAAACAGAGAAAATATGATGTTTTATTACAAGAAAATGCAAGAAAATGTTATTTTGGAGTAACATATTGCCATTACTCAGCAAACCCTTGTAGTACTTGAAGAGAGCTATGAGATATCTACACAGCCTAACAGAGTGAGTGTAGGGAATGTAGAGTGGGCAAAAATTTTCATGTGAAGATGTGCTTTTCTAAAAGGCTGAGTCCTGGAACTGAATTAAACAAAGTACTACAGGAAAGTATTAGTTAGAGGTTATTCATACTCATTGAACTGGTTGCAGGTCCTCCTCTGCCCCCATAATTCTCATTTAATTTGTACAGGAAATATGTTGAAAAGTGTTTTGAATGATTCATACTGGGCTTGTTATTTCCCAAAAATCTTTACTTTACATTTGCACTGCAGCTGTAAACCTGTGCGAGTGAGTGATATTCGTTATTGTCTGATAGATTGCTCAAATAATGGTTTGACTAGCATGTTTTCATGGTAGTGAGACACTGTAGATGCAATAATGTACAGTTTCACATATTTAAACTTCACCAAGTTGTTTATTTGACCTCCTTGAGACAGACTGCGCTTCCCGAGGCTCCCTGGAACAGCCCTGCAAATCACCTGGTCCGCTCAGCCCCCACTGACCTTACGATCTACTGCTGAACCCCGGTCATTCCCATTGCTGCTGGCCTGATTAGGTTTACCCACTAGAAAATAGATGTTGGGGTTGCTGTGGCGATTTCAAGGCAGTGATAATTAGCCAGGGAAGAGAAGGGATATTTGAAACCCCTTTCTGGAAAGTGAATTTCCACTCTAAAAGCAGCGTCCTACCACTGTGACTAATCACACCCTGCCACGATGAATATTTCTTTCTGTCCCAAACGTGTTGGCGAGATGAGTATACACACACACACACACGCACGCACGCACGCACGCACGCACGCACGCACGCACGCACGCACGCACGCACGCACGCACGCACACGCACGCACGCACGCACGCACGCACGCACGCACGCACGCACGCACACACACACACACACACGCACGCACATACGCAAACTCGAGCTGTCCGGGTGCAGAGACTATAAAACTAATGGCCGTGAATGTGAACACGATTTCCGGCTGGCTCTGATGGCTGTCCAGGTGTGCCTGATGAGCCATCACTGTGATTATCAGCACGCTGCATTAGCACACCGTGAAGCCCCTCAAGTAAATCGCACAGGAGAGGCAAGCATTTGGACTGCAGGTGGTCCCCAAACTATGTTAATGGGCTTCCACCTGCTGTTGGGTCACTGAACCCTTTAGAAAGGCCCTGGCCATAATCTTCTTGAACTGGTAAAAGGAGACAACACCAGGGTGAAATTAGTTGCACTACGAACAAAAGTATTCAGCTTGTCTTGGCAAGTCATTTATCATTTCATCTATTCAGTCATGATCCAGTACATCCGACTACCAC